AAAACTGCAGTAAACAAATAGGCAGATCAATATCCCTGCCTCATATCAAAATTTAGATTATCTTCATGCAACACAATACTGGATAATGAAATTACAGAAACAGTCGAGGTGTTTTGCTGAAAGACGCAGAGAGCCTTGACTTGACTTTTAGCAAAACAGAAGAGAAACAAAACAGAAAGCTAAGAACAGGAGGTAAGAACGAGAGACACTTCAGCAAACCAGACAGAAACAGGAAGTGAAAGTGTTGGGAGGAAGAGAAAAGACGCTCCTGGGAGAAACTGACAAAGACTTCTGATTTTAGAAACTTAAACTGATTTGTGCACCAGCTACTGAAGGATTACAGAAAGTATTGTCCTGGACAACATTTATCTGACCGGTGTAAGCATGAGGTACTTCATAGACAGAAAATATGAAGATTTTATGTGTTTTGCTACAGATTAAAATACCCAACACCAACTATTTAACGGTGTTCTATTGGGTTCAAGTTTGGCGACAGCATTTTCATAGTCCCACCTATAAAGGTTCCCTCCCAAAGCCTCACAAAGCCCCATTAAACTCCCAACTCTGCGCTTCACTGTCAGGTCTATGCATCCACTGTGGTAATCGTGGCCGGTCAGCATCAAACACGCTGGATCCCACTTGAGCTGCACACATCTTCTAACAATGTTCTGCAGTTTCACAGTACACAGCAGCCAAAGATGTTGTTACGACCAGCCTTTAGGTTCAGCTGGATGTAATAAAAAAAACAGATGGAGATGGTTTAGATAAAGCAATTTATTGCTTAGTAATGTAAATGAAGAAAACATCCATACAAACAAACAAAACATAACAGAACGGTGACAATACAAAAGAAGCTGGTGGATCCAAAGAACCAAACAAAGGCTAACAGATGTGCCAAAAGCTAGCGAACAGAAAACAAAACTAAACTCCTTAGCCAAATTTAAATCTAACAGCAACATCCACACATAACAAAAGAAACTGAAACAAACTAGTGCCTCAAGACACGAGTAACTTCTTCACCAAGTTGCTGCTAACAGGAGTCAGTCTTCACTAAGATTCTGACAAACTCCCACACCGAGTTAGCAGCTGCCAACAGAAACTACACTTCAACAAGCACAAAAGACACAGACTGAGAGGCACCAGGGTGGACTGGTCACACTAAATCCCAGCCAGCCCTGATTGAAAGGTTGCTGGTTGATTGTATAGTCAGGCGTGGCGATTGCTGGGGAGTTGGAGGAGCGGTGGTTGTCCAATCAGATGTGACCGGAGGCGGGGAGAACAAGGGCTGGAGTGCAGGTCTTCAGCTGGAGCAAGGTACCAGCCAGACACGACTGGGCCTACACTGGTCATCTCCACACACAATGGTCACAAGTCCACCTAACAGAAACGGCACAAACACCATGGGCCGTAACAGACGTTTTTCTTAAAAACCATCCTTAGAGGTTGACATTATGCAGTAAAGATGTCATGGAAAGTCTGATTTCCACTGAAAAACACTGTGCCAAATGAAGCGCCTGTCTGTATGGTTTTCAGAGCTACATTATGAAAGTTGTGCATTTTCCGTGGAACCATTTCAGGAGGTCGACCCCTGCAGCCCTGATTAGTGGTGCTATGGCTCATTCTGTGCCTCCTGGTGACTGATGAAACCGATTTTTAGTTGCGCACTCAACTTCCTGAATCTGTTTCGATCTTTGTAAAGTCTCATAATCAAAGTTTTAGGTTCCTTTTTTTTTCACGTGGAGCAATGATGCAGACATGCAGACAACCCAAATGTGTTTACAGTTTCTTTTAAAACCACGGTCATGCAGTAAGCCTGAAATCACGTGTGTCCTCTGTTTGCTTTCAATGAGCACATGTTTTGAACTTTTTGTGTCAGTGATCACACGTGAATTGTTGCATTCAGTTTCTACTTTGGGGGTGTGTTTTTTCAATAAAGTCTTTCTAAAGTATTTGTGTTTGATCGTTCATAAGAGAAAATGCTCAACTATTCAAATTGGAAACAATCTATTTATCGAGAGATGATGCAGTTTTGAATCATTTGACATTTAAATGTGATTATACAGTCTACTTGATCAGCAGGAAAACATTTTCTTTACTGTCATCCAACCCGTTTTAAAAGCAGACACAGCTTACATTAGTCAATTCATCAAATTTTCAATAAGAAATGACAAAACATGGCCCCAGCTTTACAAATGCTGTGATTTCCCCCCTTAAAATAATTTTATGTGATGTGTAACGATGTAGAGCCTTGTGAAGGTGTCAGTACATTTTCCTGATAATACACAACATAACATACTTTTTCAAACATTTTCAATTCATTTTTTAAAAAAAGAAAACCTTGTAAAAATGTACTCTTTCTTTTCTTTTTTGTATTAGTGTTTCTGAGTATCTCTTTCACCAATTCGATCCTTTTGGGCTGAAATATTTCTCTTTAATATCAGATTTCAAGGCGAGAAGTAGGTTTAGGAAAATAAGTATCAGCTGTTGCTTCTCTAAAGGTTTTCACGTTTAATCTTCGCCAACTAGAGGTCAGAGTCGACCCAAACTTCCTAATTAACTTCTCACCTCACGTGACCAGCCAGTTAAAGTTCTTTCTCAAAGTTTGTTTCCGCGTTTTGACGCACGTTGAGTGTCATTGTAACTGAACGGAGCCGAACACGGGAGGAGACGCCAGGAGGGAGGAGGAAGTAAGAGGAGGGGAGAGCATGAGAGAGGGAGGGGAATGCAGGAGGAGGGAGTGGGAAGACGGGAGGAAAACATTAGCCCTCGTTTCTCCCCGTAGTCCGGAGCTTTTCTTGTGTTTTTCTTGCCTCAAAAAACCGCAGACAGACGCGCGGCTCAGGCGGCACCACACGAAGCCAGGACGCACGGTAAGACGCACCGATGCTGCTTAACTTCTGACTTCTTGGGGGGGGTACGGTGAAGGAGGGTCGAAGGGCTGAGATGGATTTTGAGGGAAGAAAAAGTAGAAGAGGAGATGGAGGAGAAAAGAGAGGAAGACAGTGGAGTAGGAAGCTGTAGTGAATGGGCGAGGAGTCTTTCCTGCCCTCCGGGGAGAAGTGGACCAAAAAAAAGTAACGGAAAGAATGAACAGGGAGAGGAGAGATGGCCAGTGTGGGTTTGGGACAAGAGGAAAACTTCAGCTTCACTTTCATTTGTTCTCTCGAAACGAAAAAAAAAAAAATCACTCATCACAGTCACTTACTTTGGTTTTGTGTTGAATCGGTGCGCTCCTCCAGGAAACTCTTCTACTTCTAAGAGCGCAGTGTGTTTTCTTATTTCTCTAATAGTCTCTGATCAGTGTAGGATTGTAAAGCCAGAAGATCTGCTGACAATTTGTACACTTTCTACTCCTCAGTTGACGCGTTTGTTTCGGCAGTGATGTCAGTGATGAGTAATTTGTGCAGCGAGGAGCTCATTCACATCCTGTGTTGGTGCTGCAGATACTTCAGGGACAGACAGTGAAGAGGTTTGATGAGCCGCCAGCTGTAGCTTTAAGGACACATTCACTCTTAAACACAGGAGTCACAGGCATCTGAGACCTCTTGACCCCTTCAGCTCAATGCTGTTTTATGAAATTTCCACAAAGTCAGTTAAAGCTCCGCAGCCATAAGGAGAAAAGGCAGAGCTCCTTATTGACGTTTGGTAACTTTTTCATTTAGGTGCGCTCAAAGTCTTTCACTGTGCCATTTTTATTCATACATTTATAACATTTTTTGTCAGTTTTTGTGCACATTGGTAATTTCTTAGCACATTATGGAAAAGATTCTGAACAGGAACAAAGGTGCAGGTGAATGTTTCATACATTGAAGTCATTCATTTTCATATCCTAGTAGATGTTCTGGGAACACATCCTTAGAAGTGTTAATGTTTATGAGCTTTTCTTTCTCCTCACTGCTTAAATTTGTAGCTGTAGAGAGGGGGAAGGTCACGCACTTGTCACGCCACAGAATTTTCAATTCTAATTTTTGAACGCTGATGTCTGTTCCTAGCCATGTTTTGGCTGTAGTGAATGCATCCTGTTATGCCGTGTGTCTTGGTGTTTCCCACAAGGTGAGAATGTTCTGTGGTGGTGGGTGTTGCGGTGTGACTGATGTACGTGCAAAGATTCATGCAGTTTACATTGACAACAGTGTAACCAAGGAGTTTTTTCTGATCATAACAGTTTTCAGACATCCCCTAAACACCTCACAGGCAGACTCTCGCTCGACGTTACAGTTTAACAGTGTTTCCTAAAGGCCTCGCGTGCATCCAAAGATGCCTCACAGAGAAGTCTGTAGTTTCTTCTTAGTTACTGCAGTTTGAAAAGAGTGAAATAAGGTGTCTAATGTTAGATTTATCTAACTGGGAAGTTGCCCAGAGACAAGCTTACGACGTGTCAGGCATCATCATTTGTATTTACCAAACGAATGAAAATGTTCAGTTATATTTGACATATTTTTGGTCACATGTGTCTCCCTCTGTAGCCCTGCACAAGGATCTATTAATGAGAGACACTTTAGATAATCTCCAAATACAACATGGGTCTTTGTGCCCACTATTAGGCCAAGAGACATTTTATATTTTCAACAATTTATAAGAACCACCACAGGAATGATGATGTTATTTAACTTGTTTTTTCAGATTTAAAAATGTGTAAATGTAGCTTGTGGTTGTGAAATGGAGAAACAACATCCGCGTTCACGTGTTTTATGTAATAGTGAGGATATGTCGCACTGATCCAACATGTTTGCAGCAAGTTTGAGAGTCTCCTCAGTTCTTGTTGGGTCAGTTTGTTCTGCCGGCCTGTTTCCATCATCCGATTGTGAACAACAGTGATGATGTTGAATGTTGGTGTCCGACACTTGTCTTTTCTTTGGGGCAAGAAAATGATGCTGCAGGAATCATCACAGTTTTAGTTACTGGTGTTGGTAGACTCTCAAATCTTACAAGTGTGATGATATTTGATTTTTTTTGTTTTGACCCAAAAGGAATCATGGCTAGGAGAAGAGCCTGGTTTAAACCTTTCATTCTCTATAACCTGTTTTGACCAACCACCTATCCCACATGTGACCTTTAAAGTTGACCAGAAATGCACTTTCATAGGTTTTCAGTAAACACATCTAGGATTGTTTCTATTACGCGATTTTATGTACATTAAATTGGTGCATTTTTACTATTGAAACTATGATAGATCCAATGAAAAAGTGTAAAGTTTTGACCCGACTCATGAACTCTAACGCCCTGAAAATAGTCATAGTATGAAGGTACCGTTTTGCTTGGCTTCATGAAAGATACAAAAGTTATTGTACATAAAACATCTGATTCTGAGGAGATCTGGTGGGAATTTTTGTCAGATTTTGTTCATTTAGAAGTCGAGTTAGGATGTACTGTATGTTATGTAGGATGTCTGATCCGGGATTTGAACGTGTCGGTGGTTTTACAAATTCATGTCCTCCTCCTTGTGTGGCAGTCGTGATTCTGACGGCGCCTCATGATGTTCCACGATGCGTTTCAGATTTATCACATGGTGAGTATTAACTGTAGGGGGGACTTCATCGCAAATCAAACCAGAATTGCAATATCGTTTAGAAAAACTGCAGTTAAACATGCAGCACAAGATGCTCTGAGGATGCACTGAGGTGTGACTGCAGAGACCGCAGTCGGAGGTGGACTGGACCTCATGTGGCCACACTGATTAGTCGACAGTGTTGTTAGATTGCTTCTCCTCTGCAAAATGATGTGCGTCTTTATCTGCGTGTTGAACAGTGAAGGGAGATCCGATCACAAATGGTCACTCAAGATGTGAAGACACATTCCGGTTTGAGGTGTAAACTAATGGGCGGTGAGCTGTTGAATCCTGTTCAACCCTAATCCTGAATCCTTGAATCCTGAAGCCTGTTGATTTCAGGTGTGAACAGAACCACAGGGCGAATGCTGAGTCAGTTTGAGTGTGTCAGTGTCCATAAAGCTTTGCTATCTCAAACATATTTTTGGTCTCATGTGTCTCCTTCTGGAGCCCGGCACAAGGATCTATTGATGAGAGACATTTAGTAGAATCTTCAAACACAACATGGGTCTTTATTCCCATCATCAGGCTTTTTACTGATTATTTTTAATAGCAAACATAAATCTGTCATCATGAAGGCCAGTGTATGGTTCCACATGACCGATGCAGACTTAAGAGCAGACAGTGGATGTGCATGTGATTCTATTTGTTTTTCTTCTTGGTGCATGTCTTGTCAGAACAGGGATCCATGTTGAGCCTTTGTTTACTGAGATAGATGCTGAGATTTATGTTGGACATGCAGACGTGGAAAGCATTAATTAGCCTTAAGGCTGCAGTTTGTGCTGTGCTATTGTGATTTGACTAAATAGAAATCCATACGTTGAAAGAAAGAGTAGCCCACAGTGCAGCATTGGTTCCATTAATTCTAATACCAGTAAGCACTTTGACTTAAACGCTCAGAATATGATTAAGTCTGGTTGTTGTTTTTTTGTTTTTTTTACATTTTATTGCACAAATGTTCCACATTTTCCCTTCTAAATAGGCTGAAAAAGAGAGTGACTCTGTGAGGTTGTGTTTGAGCTAAATGCTAATGCTGGAATACTTTGACATGCTGATGCTTTAACACGGATAATGTTTTTTTTGTTTTATGCCCACAGTCTGAGTTTATTGTGTCATTATGCTTAAGTTTGCTAAATAACAAAAGACACAAAGTGCAGGTGAGGCCGTGCAGTTAGTTTTGCAGGTATTTGATCACAAAAACTATAGGATAGAATCAAAGTTCGACTTTATGATAGAGAAAGTGGTGCACGATTATGGCCAAAATGATTATCAGGAATGTTTTCATTGTTATTCAGATCACCATCATTGTAATTATACACTGACTTTAGGGACAGATTTATTGTTTTTTAGCATCTTCACATCTAAATAAACTGGACCCTGCTTTCAATTTTATGAGGTGCTGCATTCACAGGACAAATAAAAGCTTTGCACTCGAAGAAAAGTCAGTGAAGATTAGTAGAATTCATCCTGTAAATCCATCCAGCAGTTGTTTAGATTTTTCTGTCTGGACCAATGTGGTGGAGCAACCAACAGTCTGACAGCAATATGAATAGTATCGAGATTTAGTTTGGAGAAGTGTTTTACAGAAGTAGCATGTTGCAAATAAATGTAAAATAAATTCAGTATTGAATAAACTGTATGTATGTGTGTAACAGGGGGGAAAACTGATGTGATCTGAAACTCATGTGATGGAGCATCAGCTGCTGAACTGAACAGACTCCATCTCTATCAATTACCTGCAGCCTCACACAAATTCATTAATTGTGCATCAAAACTTGCAGCTCCACAGCCGCCCATTGTTCGACCCGCCGGAGCGTTTGAGTCTTTATGCCGCGCCGAGGAGGTTAAAAGGTCAATCAAAATGTCAGTGTTTTATCAGGTAAGCTGAGAGGAGGAGCGGCCCTGTGGCCCGAGAGGTCAGGTGAATAATTCAGAGGCTGATTGTTTGGGTCTTTTGGTGCAGTGCTCCAAGCCCAGATGCTGTATTGTGTCCTTATGTCATAACTGCACCTCACTTTCCCTTTATTGCTTTGTTAGTGTCTGTCAGTGAGGAAGAAGGGCTTTTTCAGGTCACTACCTAATGCAGGAGGACGCTCGATGCATTCAGGTTTGCCTCTTTTACCCGTACGAGCATTGAAGTCATAAATCAGTTCAGCTTTTAAGGAGTTTTTTTGTGAGAGAAAGACACATTCTCTCACAGTGAATGTTGCTTATAGGAGTCAGTTTCGTTTCCTTTCAGACGTGAGTCGGACAGTTTTTTTAGTGGTGAGTCACTGTGTTATCCCAAACTCACTCATTTACCCAAACTGATGTTAATCAGTA